CTAGGATATTTTTCTCTGAAGCTCTTTGTTACCCTGCCCAGGCACCAAGACTAGTAGAAGTCCCTTTGCCTTTATCCCCGGATGTGCCGGTTTCCTGCCTCAAGATGTTTAGAGATGAAATTTTAAGCATCTCATTCTTATGGCCCTTCAAAATAGTGAGAAAAATAAAACCACCTGAGATGGATATATTTTTCCACGTGTAGAGCTTTCTGTCTCAGCCATAGTCATATTATCCCCATCAGATCCCACTGAAACCTAATAACACATGAAGTAGGCATTTGTCTTAGCCTAGATGCTCATGGAAGCCAGAGTAAGGCAAAAGTGAGTGCACAAGTAATTTATTTGGTCATAGAATTGGAGAAAGCAGGTTGAAGAAACAGGAAATGAAGAGAGAAGGGAAGAGAGCAATAGCATGTTGGTAAATGTTTATCTGCCAGCCCTCTGGAAAAATACTAACCCTGATTATGGTGCTTACCTTTTTCCTTTGGTGTAAATTCTCCTGCCATGGCCAGTTTTAACATAATGCCACAATACGTGTTAAAGAGATGAGTACATTTGCTCTCAGGAGTTAATCTGAGCCAGCTGCCACACACCACTGAGGAAAGGCCAGTGCAAAGATGGAGCGAAGAGCTGACTGACCACTGCCGCTAGGGATTGCTGCTCAATCCGGAGAGCACTTCTGTGGAAACTTGGGATGTCTGTCTTAGAATTGGCTTCCTAGGGCCAAAGAAGAAAGCATTTACCTACCCACCTCCCTTCAGCATAGGTCAGGGACAGTTCCTCTGCAATGAACATATGTGAATGTTGATGACACCTTGCACTTCCCAGCAGCTTCAGAGGAGTCCTGAAGTAGGACATGATAGGTAGAAGTTTTGCAGGTCAAGACAAGGCACTACCAGGTTGTTCCTGCGTGAAGTTGGTTGACATCTGTGGAACCAGTTGCTGTGAGAGAAGCTGGAGTTAGAGTGGAGGGGTGGGGAGACAGCTGCATGTCTAGTACAGCCCACCTCTTGCGTTACTCATCCTGGCTTGTCTTCTCCCCGCTTTCCCCAGTACACGCAGGCTCTTTGCAGACGCCCTTCAAAGTGCTGGTGAGCAATAAGATCTGCAGACACTTCACGTAAGGGAGAAGTGCAACAAGCCGTGGGCTCCACTGCTGCAGTTGTCTCAGGAGTCATAACTGACATCGATGGCTTCCTTCTGCTACGATCTGTGCTAGATTTCTCTTACTTTCTTCGAGCCTTCAGTTAGTATAGCTTGCCTGCCTGGTACAGTGGCCTAGATACCCATCTCGGAGGGATTAAGCTTATCTGGATTTCTCTTGTCCAGCCATGGTGGTTGCAACTGTCCCTTCACAGTATCACAGTTAATAAAAGCAAGATATGCCTGGGGAATCTCCTAGGTTTCAGAAGACTCCCTCATGCTTTCCAGGTATAGCAGCAACCCTTGCTTTCTCTGATAATTGAGGTCAATTACTCCTAGCACACAATTCCTCCTTTCTTTGCTGGAAGGCTGACTTTTAATGGTGAGACTAGATCAGGCGTATTGAGCCTAAACTGTCTTGTTTAGTACTCTGTTCCGTGTGGCTATAACAAAATACTCAGCACTGGGCTCTTTATAAAGGAAAGAGGTTTGTGTAGCTCACAGTTTGGAGATGCAAGAGCATAGTGCCAGCATCTATTTAGCTCTATCAAGGATCTTACAGTGGACAGCATTGCGATGGGTGCGTTCCAGGTTTCTGTACTGACTCAGATTTGGAAGGGAAGTTTTCCATTATTGCAACTCAGGCAGGCCTTTACTCTCCACTCTTTTCATTTTATTGGTTATGAAAGTGGAGGAATGCTCTGGTTTGCTCTGTCCCCTTTTCCCTCCTTTCCACACTATGATTGCTGTAATCTGTGTTATTCTGTGTTTACCACTCCAAGTCCTGCTGACCAATATTACATCTATGCTGCCCTTGACAGTCAAGCAATACCATTTGCCTTTCTAGAATCCTCTCATTCTATGGATCCCAGATCAACAGCTGGTTCTCTTGTTTTTAACCCTAGCTGTCAGATGATAGCTAACTAAGCTTCTCAGGTATTTATTTCATAGAGCTTCTCAGCAGTACACCCTTCATGGCTTTGACGGAGGGGGGGCTCTCTGATTCCTCTTGGGTTACTTGATGTATCCCTAGGACCCACAGAGTAAGTCTCTTCTATCCTTCCTACTCTTCTAAACCTTTCAACTTCATCCTGAGGGCTCTGCCATGGCTCCTCCAACATCTGCCACCCATTTTCTCCAGGTCATTCTTGTGACCAAGCTTCAGGAGAGCATTCCAGCAGTGGTGTACTCCGAGTCATAGAAAAATATTGCATGTATTGTTCTCTCTAGTGTATTTCTTTGTTGAAGTGAAGGGTGATGCCTGGGCACCTAGAATTTGTAGGGTCTTCAAAATCTAAGGGTGGAACCCAGAGAGTACACTTCTGGAGAAGCAGAATTTTCCTCCAACTTCCTTTAGAGGTAAGGTTTGACAGCAGGTTAAAGCCTTGCAATCATTGGCCGGTGGAGGGGGTGCTACTTGTTGCGCTACATAGACTTGTACCAAGTCTCCCTGGGGCTCTGGAAAGTTCAGGAAAAGTAGTCAGTGCACAAAACATGTCAGTTCAGTCATCAACTTTTTATGCAATATGACCATTTTTGTGACATGTTCAGGTGCCTGAAAGCTTTAAGATGACATTATTGTTTTTATTGGATACCACATTAAACTGAAAGGTTTTGAAAATCCTGATGAATTATTGTTGGTAATTTGCTTATACGTATGGAGTTAGGTGGTTGAAAACCCTGTTTTTTCCTCTCTTTACAGTTCTAAAAATCATCCTTTAGGAGCTAAAATATGATGCCTGGCTAAGCTTAGGAGTTTTCATTGTGTTCCATCAGGGATGATGATGATGTTGATGATGATGATGATAATGATGATGTGAATTCTTATTATGTGCAGATCATTTTACACGTATAAAATCTACTCAGCCCTCACAACTCTGTATAATAGGTGTATGTACACTACTGCAATACAACTTTAATGAAGTTTTTACAAATTTTCCTGCATAATCCTCTTTTCATCACTTCTGATAACTATCACCAGGGAAATGAGCAGAATTAATATGGGGCCAGGTCTCCTTCCCAAGTCACTCACGGAAGTCCCACAACAGCCCTCTGCAAAGCTGTGTCCTTGAGTACCCGAAGCCATTTGATCAGATGCTGTGTTCATTTCTCATTTATCTTACTCTTGGATCTAAGCAAACAGTAAATATTTAAGTAGTGAGGATGCTTGTCTAGCAACCTGTCTGTGATAGATTAAAGAGCGCCACAAATCAATCGATATTCTTTCTCTTGAGACTAATTTACCTCCCGTTGAATCTGAGCTGGGTTTCGTGACTTATTTCCCTAACACAATAAGGTAAGGTGCTATTTGGAGATTTTTGAGGCTAAATCAGAAGCCGTGTGGTTTCTAGCTGGGTTTCTGCCGCTTAAGAGATCTGACGGCCTTGCTGTGGCTTTGCTAGGGAGGCAGCATCTAGAGGATAGTGGACAGTCCTGACAACCTCTTCAAGACACCAGACCTAGGAGGGAAGCTGTCCTGGGCCCACTTCTACTGACAGTCACTAAGTGACTGCCAGTGAAGCCACGAAATAGCAGAATCACCCATTGAGTCTCACCGCGAAATGGAGTGAAATGACTGGTGTTTTAAGCCACTAACATTTGGCATAGTTAAGCCCAGCAGTAGACAACGGAAGCACTCTCCACCTTGAAGAGTGATGGGGACTGTAGTGCAGGGTGGGGTTGGGGACTGCAGTGGGTGGTGTGCGGGTCTGAGACTATCTCTGTACATACCTTGAACATTTTCTTTTATTGTTATTATTCACGATAGAAATGATGGCAAATAGAGAAGAGAATGTTGATACCTTTCATTTCTAGGCACAAGTACAACTTGAGGCCTGTTTTCCCTTCCTTCCTTGGGATCACAGAATATTCCAATCCCCTTTTCTGGTTTAGGCTGTTAGAAATGGGCCTCAGTTTATGGCACTGCAGAAGCCTTCATGCAGACGGCACAAGGCCCCTCCCAAACGCGTCTATGACTCAGCATTGATTCCTCAGGTACCAGTGTCTCCGTTCTGCTCCTGATCAGAAGCCCCCCTGCGGGGAAGCAGAACCACAGGATACCTGTCCCTCTTCCTTAATCTGTCCCTAAAAAGTCACCATTATAGTTTTTGGGGTGGGGGAGGTAAAGTGTAGAGACTCACTGGAAGTGGTGATTGGGGTTGAAATGCGTAACTACTTCTGGTGACTATGAAAGTTCGTGATTCCAAGCAGCCTTCTGGGGTCTGTGGCTGTGGAAAAGGACATTCTTTAGTTAGAGAAAGCACTGAGGACACACAATGATTTGTTTACAGTTTGTTAGGGTTTCTTAAAATAAGGCTTCATTATATAGCCCGGACTGGCCTTGAGTTTACGATCCTCCTGCCTCAGCCTCCCAAATGCTGGGATTACAGGCGTGTGTTGGATTACATGTGGAGAAGGATAATCCTTTGATTACTCTTTCAATGTATTGCCTCAGGCCTGATCAAGCCATGTGATTGTTTAATTTTGGAGGGAGTCTAGCAAAAGCATTGGTGGAAAGGATAAGATTGCAAAACTTGTATTCTTGTGGAAAGCTGTGAGGTCAACACTAAATGCTTTATTGACACATACCTGAAGGAATGATAACACGATGGCTTACCAAGTCAAATCTCATACTTATGATAATTGAGCTGTACTGTCCTTGCTAAAATGTTTGGTATCCGTCCATTTGTACCAGCTATGCCTTTGGTTCTTGCTCAATAAAAGGTGACTGAGATTGGTAAGAGGGGTAGCAGTCCGAGAGGCTGAAAGCCCCCTGATCCCAGAATTATGCCTCTCTTGTTTTTCTTTTTTCTCGTGCTTTTCTTTTCATCCATGGGTACCTCGTTCTCGGGACCTGTCACTCCTGGACAGAAACGGAATCTACATCCGACATCTGGCTGCCTAAAAGTTATGCCTTTCAGGTTCTGCAAGACAGAGCTCACAGAAGGATTTTATTCCCATATATTCACATGCAAAAACCTGGCGTGCAGCTAAAAAAGAAAATATTACCACCATGCACCAGGTAAGTGAGTAGCCAGGTCATCGAGGGGCAGTACACTGTTTGTGTGGGGCTTAGGGAACACCTCTGTCTCATTTTATTGACCTGTAAAATAAGCTTAATAACTGTACCCAGCTTCTGTGATTGTTGTGAAGATTAAATGAGCTACTGTGTACAAAGCACGGCATTTGGCACCTAAGAGAGGAACTAAGATAGTCATCGCCATCACTGCTGTATTCCATGGCCAAGACTAAGTGATATGATTTTCTTTAATGATTTAAAATTTTTATTAGTACATGTTTGCAGTACATAATGGTGATACTCATCATGGGAAGTTGGTACATGGACATAACACATCTGAAGTTTTTTTACTTCCCTCCCCCTTACCACTAGATTTTGTCCATAATGGCGGGCAGAGAATGACTGGACTTCCCCATGACTGCAGCATCCAGGGGGTACAGGGACAGAGGATGTCCACAAAGCTGTGTGTGGGCTTTTGGGCACTCTGGGAGAAGGAAGGGAACTGGGAGGGCGAGACTGAGGCCAGGGACTTCGGTGTGGTGACTCGGACTCACGCCCTGTGGGTCTCCGCTCCCTTTCTGTGACAAAGCAGATGTGAAGGCTCCTTTTCTCTTTAGCACAGTGTTTTGAGATGGTCCTTCCTTCTCTTTTAAGAGTACTTACTATTTCATTACAGAATGTTCTGAAAGTTATCTCAGAAGTGTGGTTTGAACTCCGATCTGGCCTCTGCCGCATCTCTCTTCATGTGAGGCTACTTTCTCCAGCTGTCACTGCAAGCCAGCCCTGGTCTGTCCATGTCTAAACACCCAACACTCTTCCCGCCTCACACGCTTCCCTTAGTCTTGGACATTCCCTGGCGTCTCTGGAGAGCTGATACTTTGGTGCTCAGCATAAACGGGAGGCTTTGTCTAGCCGTGGTATTGAAGTAAGTGCTCCCTGGCTTTTCCATGTGTGTTTGTTTTCTCCTTAGCACTTCATCACGATTTCATTGCCTTAACTCAGTTATTTTTTACTGGTTTCATTCACTAGGATACAACGTTTATAAGCACAGAGGCCTTCCTTCCACTGGCCTCTTAACCATTTTAGTTTGAGTGCCCCGCTCAGGGTCTGATTCACAGACTTGACATACCAGTCATCTGAGAATAAATGACTGAGCCCTGGCAGATCAGTTCCAAACATCCTGCAGATTACACAGTTGCCCGCCTGAGTCCAGGTCGTTGATGTCCCCTACTGCAGATGGAGTCCTCAGCACGCTGTGTCTAAGGGAAGCCTCTGTCAGGGTCAGCGCTCCAGTTCGTGCTACCTGTGCGCTATTTGAAGAACCGCTCTTGTTTCCCGGCCTGACAGCCTGTGAAAGCTACCAGCAACGCTTTCTTGATGCACAACACTGGCCTTCCATATTTCAGCCTTTTCCCGTTTAGGACTGTGGGGCTGCAAGTAATATAAACCGGCTTTAGCTAATTTAAAAGAAGACACGTTGCTCGAAGGGTTTAGGGGTATTTCATGAAACTGGAAGGCGCGGAGCAGCCAGGCATCAGGAGGAGCTTGGTCAGAGAGCTGTGCAAGGCCAAGATTGGGGGCGTGCCGGGTTCTCTCTGCTCCCCGCCTGTGCACCACCCCACCACTTCTGCATTCCCACTCACTGGCTGTCCTTGTAATCAGACGATACGGCGTGCACATGCTTACCCACTCCAGCTCTGAAGCTCTTATTTTTCAGCTCCAAATTCTTGGAATATCAGCAGCTCACATTTGGATAATTGCTTAGAGTTAGTGCTTGAAAGTCCCAGTGACAGTGAGAGGTAGGGGGAAGGACTCTGAGTCCCTGTTTGGTGAAGAGGTCTGAGGTCATACACCTCGGGCGCTAGGAAAGGCCTTTCAGGAAGGACAATGGGAAAACAAAAATATTACCATGTGTTCTACTTCTCACCATTGCAGCCAGGGAGGAGGAACACAAGAAGTGTTGCCTGCCTTTATCCTCACAAGAAAACCAGTCAGGAGACAGGCCTTGCTCCCGTGACTGCAGGTGTGTGTAGAGCGCAAATGATGATGAGGAGAGAGCAGTGGTGTTGGGGGGCGACTGGCATTCCCAGAACGCTTGCGGGGAGCAGCTGGGGCCAGCTGCAGCTTTTAGTGACAGGATGTGAGTTTTCAGTCTAATGTGTCTGACATGAAAGCTGCTGAGGAGAACAGAGGCCAAGAACTTACCTCAGTTGACTCGGACCAGGGAGGAAAGGAGGAGCAGTGGGGAGGAGGACGTTACATCTTCTGGCCATCGGGTGGGACGTCAGGTGTGGTGCTGCAGTGTGCCCTTCCTGGCCACCAGATGCCAGGGCTTAAGTGACAACACCACAGCCTGCCAAGTTTTAAATAAATTGAATTTAAAGTGGCACAGGGGCTGGGGATATAGCTCAGCAGTGCAGCACCTTGCTTAGCAAGCAGCAAGGTCCTGAGTTCGATTCCTAGAACCAAAAAAAAAAAAAAAAAAAAGTGGCACAAGGTAAATTTAACTATGACAATGATAATTAAAATCCTTCCACTTTAAGGAATCTGTGTTAAGGGAGAACTTACAAAGTACAAAGCTGGATGGGGAAATGTAAAGGTGTGAAGAGATGGGTACTATTCCTTTTCAGATGGCTGGTTCCAGTCGCATCTGCACAGCCAACACCTGGTTCTCTCCTGCTGGCTCGTTCTGCCTAGTGGCGAGTAGGCTCACTGTGGAGGACTCTGCCGACCTGGGAGTGAGTCAGTTGGGAGGGGAGAGGCTACAGTGCGCTGAGGTAAGGAGGTTGCATAAGTAGCCCCCAGAATCAGGGAGACTTTACCTGTGCTAATAGGTTCCAAAGATAGTCAGACCAGACCTTGTAGGGGGCATGGTTTACACTCAGTAAGGGTCCCTGCCCCTAGGATTCCCTAGCCAGTTTGCAGTGTGCACACTCTGTTTTGTTCCCAGTGGGCCAGCTATCCTTATATCAACCTGGAAAGAAGGAAGCTATGCTCAGTCATGTCTCCCTTGCATATGTGGTTTTCCCCCTGGAATGCCCATAGGTAACACCCTTAAACCTGTTTATCTAAAACCTAAACTCTGTATGGTTTGAATATGGCTTACACTCTCCAAAACTCTTGTTGCAATGTAATCCCATTATGAGATATTAAGAAGCACGGCTATTTGGGATTTTAAGAGGTGCTTAGAGCTCTGCCCATCATGACTGGATTAATCCATGCATGCAATTAGTGGATTAACAGGTTACTGGGTTATCTGGAGAGCAGGTCCGCTATAAAAGCCAGTTTGGCTGGGCCTCTTTCTCCCTGGCTTTGGCTATGGGATGCCTGTGCTGCTTTAGGACTCAGCCAGCAAGAAGGCTGTCACCAGATATAACGCCTGGACCTTGGATCACAGTCCTGAGTCACAACAAAGCCCTTTGCTTTATAATTTACCCACATGTGGCACTGGGTCATTAGCAACAGAAAATGGACTAAGATACTATTTTAAGTCCATTCTTATTGCTTGAGACCAAGTATCACACCACCACTACCTCTAACAAATGTGTTTCTGAGCTCTTTATGTAGTTGAGCGAAGGCCTGGTGATTCATTTTATACAAATTCAGTTTACAAACTGCATCTTCAGAAACCTGACATCTACCACTTTCCTCCTCTCCAAGCCCTTCATGCACTGGAATGGGCTGGCTTTGTGGGAGTGTCACCTTCTAGAAGGATGGACACCTGTCAGTGGTTATGGCAGTGACTGGCTGCATTCTTGCCTTAAATTGAGTCATAGAAGTCTTAATATAATTCACGAAGTGTTGCTGACTTTGCTCCCTGGAGAGCAGAGATGACATGTTCTGTTCTCATGATTTCCTTGAGGGCTCTGGCAGCCTGATTGCTGTCGCACGCCAGTGTCTCGGGAGAAGTGAGGAGGACTTCAGTCTCTCACTGTGGACTTGGTTTCTGCCTTGTTCCAGCTTTAAAGTACTTTCAAATCAAGATTGTTAGAATAATTTCCTTTCTTTTGCGTCTTGTAATTTTTACCGGCGGGTAATGAATAATATGAAAATGTGGTATTCTGAGAAGACCCAACTTGCTCTGAATTACTTTTTTCTTTTGAGGTCTAATTCTTGTACATAAAAGCCACCTTTTAAAAGTGAATTTTAACCACAATTCAGTGGATTTTAGAATTTACTCAGAAGGTTGTATGACCTTTAGCACTACCCAATTCCAGAATATTTTCACTGCCCCGAAAGAAACTTATAGCCATTTGTGATCTCTCCCCATTTTCCACTCCCTCAGCCCCTAGCAATCACTAAACCACTTTTTGTCTTTCTGAAACTCTGAATTAATTTTATACCTATAATTTTCAGCTTTACCCATGGTTGCTGGATACATAGAAATTATGATATTTAAGGTATATAAGATGATAATTTGTATGTGTATACATTGTGTAGTAATTACTGTGGTCACATGAACACCCTGATTACTTCACAGAATTGTTTTTCTTGTAGTGAGAAAGATCTATTCTCTGAACAAATCAAGTACACAACACGGTATCTAATTGTAGCTGTCATGCTGTCCACTGGGTCTCCAGACCCTGTTCATTTTATGACTGAAAATGTGTTCTTGCAGAATGATTATCGCGTGTCCCTCACCCATAGTCTCAAGAAGCCTCCATTCTTTTGTCTGCTGCTAGGAGTTGAACTTTTTCAGATTTTACACATAAATAAGATCATGCAGTATTTGTCTGTCTTGCTACACTGTCCTTCAGAATCATTCTTGTTGTAACAAATGGCAAGATAATTTGAAAGAAAGAACAGCTGATAAACAGCTGAAATTAGCTTGGGTTAAATTCTGTACATAATAAGATTTCAGGTAGAGAACTAAGATTACTAGCCTGAGCTGAAAAGTGAAAATGAAAAGCTGAGAACTTATTTCTCAGCAATTTGATAATTACAACTGCGGTGCTTTGTTGGCAAAAGCGGCAGAGGGGGTTGGTGGTGGTGAGCATCTACTTTTAGCATTGTAATTCTTGTGTTTTTCAATTTATAGAATAATACACTAAGTTCATTAGTCTGAATCCACTTAATTCAGGATCTCTTAAAAGCTAACAAGGTGGAGTCAGGCTAAAATTACAAACGTGGAATAAAAGATTTGCCAAGTAAGTTTGTAGTTCAAACAAGATTGCAGGAGGACAGCTTACCTTATTAAAGAGAGCAAATTATTTTAGAAGAATTTATGTGCCTTCTAATCATGACTGTGCCATTCCAAAGGCCTATCTTTTAGTTAGAGAAGTACCCAGTCTGGCCGGCCTAGATTGCCTACGCTTTGCGGGTTGTTAGTCTGTGTGTTGTTGTAGGACGGATGGAAGGACCAGCCAGGTCACCCGTTAATTTGCCAACTTATTAAACTCAGCAGGGACCATCCATCAACACATCATAGATAAGAGCACAACCATCCCTAAAGAGAGGGAATCTGTCCCAGATCCACAAAACCTGACTGCAGCTTGATGTGAGCTATTATCGTATCTGAAGGAAAGTGTCCTTCAGGAGTGTGGTCAGCAGGCAGCAAGGAGAGGGAAGTGGCGCAGGCCAGTGCCAGCAGGGCCACGTGAGTGCCGTCTAAGGAGGCGGCTGTGTCCAAGAGCAGAGCCATAACTCAGCGTCTGAGTTGGATGCCGGGGGGCCTGAAGGTTTCCAAAATCTGAGCTTTATTTTTTTATTATTTTTATTTTTTATTTGAAAGAGTAAAAGAAGGATAACATAATAATAGGGGGGCTTACCAAATTACAGACAAAGTGGTAGGAAATTATCAATGGTTATTGTTTTACGTGTTGTTATCTACAAGATAGTTTCTCAGGAAAACAAATAGACAAATAATAGTGAGTTACAGACAAAAGAGGTAGGAGATTATCGATGGTTGTTGTACTATACTTTGGTATCTTCAAAGTGGCTTCTAAAGAAAATAAATAGAGCTATACATGAGTGACCTATTGAATAATCATTAACTTTTCTCAATGGTTGTTGTAGGAAACACATAATAATAGACTGCATCCATTTACAAAATAGGATAGGAACAATACAAACATTGCAGAGTTATGGATAGATTAGTAGGAAAATATCAATGGCTGCTATAACACATGGTGGTATCTTCGAAGTGATTTCTCAGGAAGACAGAGATACGCAGGAAGGATCTAACAAGTAGTTACAGCCTAAGGGTTGTCAAAAATCAAGTGAGCCATCTGGGGTGAAAATCTGAGTTTTAGAGACAGATCCCCAGGTCTGATTCACCCTCACCAAACAGCCTTCTTCCTAATTATAATTTGGCTTCCTTGAGAGATTTTACCTATGGGGTGATGCAGGGCTGGCCAGATTACTCTTGTATCTTGGCAGACATATTTCTTTTTATAAATAATTGGTTTATGAACTGATTATTTCCTTCTCTGAGTCAGTTTTAATTTCTCTGCTCTGGTGGGTTCTCCCATCTGCCTTAACCCCTCAACAGAGAGAACTGCAACACAGGCTTTCTGAGCTGAAGGACAGAGAGCAGAATTTAAATCCCACCATGGTCTCAGCACTGGCGCGGCTCCGTGGCTTTCCATCAGGCTTGATGGTTCTTCAAAGTGATGAGCAGGACATTTTAGTAAAGTGAAATCATTTACTCTCCAATTACACTCTTATTTCCCTTCTTCTCCAAGGTGGGCGAATGTGTCTACTCTTATTTTGCAGGTGGCAAAGTTGGGAAATAAAGATTTTCTAAAACCAATCCATTAATTTTCATACTACTTTTTAAAATTAAAATTATAGTAAAATTTGATCATTGTCATATATAATCAAGCTCTTTTTTTTGTACTTATAACTCTCTGGTTGTGTACTTTTGAAGTGAGAGTCTATTACAACCAGTTTATACTCATGTTTTTTCAGGTTCCTGAGAAGATCCTTTGTATGGCGCCCCAGGGAAAGGTATAATAGAGGGTGATTCCAAGGTAGTGTTTTGGGCCAAATTCGAATAGGTTAATATTCATAATTTCTCTTATTTAAGGCTTGATTTCTTTTTGACCTGATTTAATTTTGGCACTTTTTTTCCCTTCTGCAAGAAGTACTTGTTGGGAGACTTCTGTTGGGTTCTCAGTGAAAATTCTGCTGGAATATTGAGGGGCAAGTTTGATATTTTACATCAAGAACTACAAACAGATATGTGCTCAGTGATTCCATAGTCCACCCCTTGAAATATAGCCAAAGGAAATATTTCAAAAGAAGAAGGGGAAATTTGTGTGCAAAGAGGTTTAGCAGCTTGGGAGGCTGAGGCAGGAGGATTTCAAGTTTGAAGCTAGCCTGGATAATTTGACTTTAATTTTGTCTCAAAATAGAGATCAAGACAGAAAGAGGGAGAGGGAGACAGAGAGGGAGAAAAGAACGAGAGAAATAAAAGATCAGTAAGAGGTCAGAGGTATAACTTAGTGTGAAGGCCCTGGGTGCATTCCCCCATAACACCACACACATGCACATGCAACATGGAGACATGGAAGAACGTTTACGAAATATTCTATTTAAAGTGAAAAATAAAACACTGTGTGTCCTATGTTACAACTGGGTGAATGTTGGTGTGTATATATGGGGAGAGACAGAAAAGTGTGTGTTAGGAATGCAGGTGGTTAAAAATTTTCCTTCACATGTTATAATATTAAACAACACAGTATTTAATTTTAAAATAAAAGCTGTCAAATAAATTATAAGACAATTGTATCAGTCAGGGTTTACTACAGGAACAGATATAATACAAGATAAACAAATGTACAAGGAATTGCAAGGTTGGCTTACAATGGTCAGCTCCAGAGTTGGATGAGGAAGTGTGCAGAGGGTGTCTGCACGCTGGAGATTGAAGAGCCCAGCCCCGGGCCTGGAGCTTGCTGCAGTGTCCATGCAAGTCTGTATCAAAAGGCTGACGGGTCTGCAACGGAATGCTGAAGAATCTACAATGAAGGCCGGAGAGCCAACACCAGAAGGCTGAAGAGTCCCAGACGGAAGCCCAACCGTCTGCACCAGAAGCCAGGAGACGACCAAGCTGAAGGCGAAGACGAGCTCCTCCGAACCAGCAGCGAGTCTTTCCTCAATTCCTTTTTTTATGCAGTCTACCCACTCTGGGGAGATGGGGGTCATCCTCTACACCCACACCCTCTGCATGCCTGCCTCTTGCACAGGCTCAGGATGAATACAAAGTAAGCACCCTAGACCCCTTCTGAGTTGCATAGTTAACCTTTTAACTTCTCCAATTAACACAATAAACAACATCCCAGAAGGGTAAGGGCGTGTCCTTTTCACCTCAAGAGGCAGAACTGCTGAGTCACTTAGCCAAACCTCTAGACTCCCCAAGTTGGCACAATGTATCAACCATAACAACAATGTATTACTGAGCAGATTCCTGACACTCTTGGTGGGGATAGTTTCTTTACACTGATTGCTTATTTGTTTGTTTGTTTTTTGGGACAGGGTCTTGCTGTGTAGCCTAGGCTGGCCTCGAACTCACAGCGATCCTCCTGCCTCAGCCTCCTGAGTGTTGGGATAACAGGCATGTACCACCATGCCTAGCTAGTTTCTTTGCATTGAAGTCATTTGGTTTTGGCCACGTCTTTCTAGGATAGCCACTGAGTTAAGAATCATTCTCGGGGTAAGATGTGTCAGGGTTTTCTAAGTTGGTGGAGGAACCTTTCTTGCAGGTTGGCTGAAGCCTGGTACTGAGCGATGTGCTGAGGCCTGGCCTCGGTGCTCAGGTCACCCTCACTGACCAGCCCAGTGGGCCTGGAAAAGACATCCAGCTGCTGTGGGCTTAGGCTCTGCATGTCACACGACCTTGGATCAGAATCTCTCCAGCCTACTTCAACACTGTATTAATCTCTGAATATAAAATTTAAGTTCAAATTCATTTTCCAAATTCTGTGGTTTATCACATAACATATTTGAATTGTGAACTACTTTCAATTTTTCCAGACAAGTTTAATGAATTCCTAACTTCAGAAGATTTTCCTGACAAAGTCAGATTAAAATCTTAATGTGCGACGGCACACTCCTGGAATTCAGGCTGAGGCTGAGGCAGGAGGATCCCTGTGAGTTCAAGGCCAGTCTGAACTACAGAGCAAGACCCTGTCTTATACAACAACAACAACAACAACCATCTAAAATTTCTGACATTTCATGTTCACATGTGACCCTATGGAAAGGTCTAATTTTTAACACTTGAAGGTGGGGTTTTTCTATGTTCCAGAGTTGTGTCACTCTGTACGTCGTATGTGCTGAGGCTCAATTTTAAGGATGCATCAGAATCCCTAGAGGGCTTTATTTAAAGTGTTTTATTTAACACTGGTTGCCAGGCCCTACTCCAGGGTGTCTGATGTGACAGTCTGCATTTTAATCGGCTCTGGTCAATGGCAGGGACCTTGATCTGGGAACTGGACTCTGAGAGCTGCCGCTGGAGGGAAGTGATAGCACAGGAGGCGTGGGAGAAGGGGAGGCTGTACATGCCACACTGTTAGGAGCTGCAAAGTTAGGAGGCCATTTCAGTGACAGCAGGTGACGGCCAAATGAATCGCAGTAGGAGTCATCGCAAGGAACATTGCACAGCAGGTGAAAAGAGTACAGTAGGCGTAGTTGTGCCATTGCGGAGTGGTTACAAGTGCTGGCTCTAGAGTCACTGTGGAAGCAGCTCTGTAGCTTTGGAGGAGATGACGAACTTACACTATAATTCTAATTTAATATGTTAAGCCACTTTATTTTACTGTGACATAACTTTCTAAAGGGACAACTAACTTGAGACATGCTCCCAATCTAAAGCCAATCTGCATCTGTTGAGTTAATTAGAACAGATCAGTGAAGCCTGTATCAGTCGTAAATCATCCTGAGGTCAGGAGCAATGTTTCTACAATGAATTTCTGATAAATGTGCCTTTTTATTTTTAATAAGCATTCATGATCTCAAGGTTATATGTCAAAGTCCGTGGGTTTATTAAAGCTCTTTGTGTTTCATAAATAACAGACTAAGAATCTGAAAACGTATGCCATCAAGATGGAAAATAATTATAGATTTATTTGACTTTATGATAACTGGGATTTAAATATTCACCAAGCTCCTCCCTCACCTCTCAAGACAAAGGTTAATCACCGATGTGTTGCAGTCCTTGGAAAGCATTGCTGTCATCTGAAGAGTTCTGTCGTGGAAGCTGATGGCGTTTGTCTCACATGAGGTGGAAGGTAATTTAAATTATTTGAGGTTTGCTGCTTTAAGCCAGTGACTATAAGCTGGGTGAAAGCTGTCTTTCAGTGACTGTGAAAGCTGTCTCTTCACTTCTCTCTCTGCTTCAGGTTTCATGTATGAAATGATGGTAATAAAACGGCCTTCATGGGGCTGCTATGAGGGTTGAGTTAGGTAAGATGTGGCCATATTTAGAACAATATGTAGTACACAACTACCACTACAATTTACAGGAAGAATTACCTAAGGGCTAGTGGAAGAAAAACTCAAGTTGTAGAAGAACATGTATGACATTGCTTATGCAAAACCCACAAGCATTCTGAGAGCTTTCCATGAGCACAGGTGTGTAAACATATGGATTGGGATCTGGAAAAATAGACTACTGTTACAGCTTGTGTCTAGATGTCCCACCAAAGCCTCATGCAGTCATAGGTGGGGCTTCTCCAAGGAGGCTGAATCTAGGGTGTGTGATCACTAAATTAGTCCATGATTGGTTTGGCATAATTCTGGGTAGGATTAAGGGTGCTGCACCCTAGATGTGGGTGCCACCTGCCCTAAGGGTGTATAGTCTGGATAGAATACAAGGGACAGAAAGAGGATGGCTGTCATTGCTTGCTTCTCTTGCTGCCTTCTGCCCACCATAAGTGTTTCTCCTCTGTGATGCCCCTCTGCCAAGCCTACCTTGGAGCCAGCCAACTGTGGACTGAAACCTCTACAAAGCTGTGAGCCAAATAAACCTTTCCTCCTTTAACTTTGAGTGTTGGTTATTTTGTCTGAGCAATAAGAAAATTAACCAAGATACCTACAGAGTGATATCAGTGTCAACCTCTAGGGAGAGGAAAGAGGACTAGATTCACTGGGGCACAGCCAGAGAGAGCATGGGCTTTAATTGCAATGCCATCTTCATTTTTCATAATGCATTTATTTAGTTATACTTATGTGATTTTCAAGACAACTCACTTGTCATTTTGGAAAATAAAAGAAGTGCAAAAAAATTATAAAGGTCAAAAGTGAGAAGAATAAAGAATTGGCAAATATGAAAATATTTTTATGTTAAGCTAAAATTGTGTTTTTATTCTAGGTAGTGATTCAAATTGCTATCTATATTTAATTACTTATTTCAGATGCTACTGAGAAGCACTATCTAATGATCCTAAATGTTTCAAGAATTTTGCTTTCTTTCTTCTTTAAGAAACTGTTTCTAAGTTCTTCAGATTTTCAAATTCTAAGAAGTACATTTTCCTTCCTCCGGGTAAGTTGTTGGTGATAAATAGTTTGGCAGAAGTGATGTAATAATATTTTCCTTTTGTACTGTATTGATTCACAGCCAAGGTTAATCTGCATAAATAAACACTGTCTCTTTTAGAATTTTTAATAGTTTATATATCAGTTTGTTAAATTTTGAAAGGCACATTGGTTTAGTAGCTCCATAATGAATCATGCATCAATCATTTTGTTGGGTAACATTTGAGATTTACAAGAGAATCCCCAGTTACTGACCTGCCCTTAAGTACTATGCTATTTCTTCTCTGTCCAAGCAGGAGTACAGAATTTATGCTGCTACGACTGTTAAGTATCTGAGAATTAAAGTAGGTGTAGACCATTGATCAGGCAAATTGTTTATGAGGGTGGCTGAGAGCTGAGAAAGAGATAGATTGAGAAACCTTGAAATAGAACCTCTGGAGGTTTAGTTGTTAAATGTAGGTTCTTGGATCCACCACACAGAATTTGACAAAATGGGTCAGGGGATTGACTCAGTGAACTTCAGACCACATGTGGAGAAACTTGCTGGGCCCCCACTGGCAGTTATGTCCAGGCACCGGATGCTGGGAGCAAGAGCTGCTTTGGCAGCTCTTCATCTGCCAGAGTTGAAGCAACAGCACACTATGATGGGTGAAGGAAATCAGGCTGCCTAGGTACTCAGAGGCTTGGGCATGGGTCATTAAAGTGCCTCAAAGTTACACATCTTTGTGCATGCTTAAAAAATGTAAAAAGGGCAATTAAATGTATGGACTCACTCTTCGTTTTGTTTTCTTTGCTGTATCCTCTAAGAACTCTGTCCCCACCAAGACTTCCAGCTCTTGAGGTAGTTAATGAGATGGCTTTAAAAAAAAATTCCTTCTTTTCATCAAAATGTGCCTGGCCTGAGGCTCAGGAGCTCAACTGCACACATTCTTCTGGTTGACAGTTATTTAATGTCATGGTTTATGATCCTCCATTCCAGGTCACAAATCTGCATACTAAGTGTGGCTGACAGAATAGCAGTCTCCTGAAGACATTCCTGCCCAACTCTGTGGAAACTGTGGATGTGTGACCTTTAAAGGCAAAGGGAAAGTCAAGGCTGTACATGGAAATAAAGTTATCAAAGACCAACCTCCAAATAGGGAGATTAAACTGGGTTATCTGGGTGGACTCAGTTTAATCACAAGGGTCTTTGAATGTAGAAAAGGTAGATAGGAGAGGATATCTGTGTGAATGAATCAGTGTGAGAAAGATTTGATTTTCCACTGCTGGCTTTGAAGATGGAGGGAGGGGGCTGCTAGCCAAACAATGTGAGCAACTGCTAAAATCTGGAAAAGGTAATAAAATGGTTCTCATCCAGAGCCTCCAGCCAGAAATGTGGGATCTTTAATCAAATAAGACCCTTGTCAGCCCTTCCTGTCTTATAGAACTATGAGGTTGAGCCGCTGAGTTTGCTGTAATTTGTGACAGTAGCAACAGGGAAGGTGTGGTTTTGTGGACTCATAAAACTTTATCCAAAACAGCAGTTTATCTCATGAGAACATTAGTCATTATGGAAGGTAAGTGTGGAAGTGACCTACACCTGGAGGCTCATGGAAGTCTTACGCTATCCCTCAATTCTCAAGTGATATGCTCAGAATGTCTCTGAGGTCGCTAACTCTAACCTGCAGCCGACCTCTCAGCTCCCCAGAAGTGCTTCCTGGGCATCCTGCCCATCACTTCCAGTTGCCTGTGGCTCTCTGTCCTCTCTCCCTTCTCCACCCAGCAGCCTTTCACATGTGCCTCAATGTGAGGAATTCTGTATAATCCTTTCCTCCCACAGGGAATAAAGACTTCTTCCCCTAGCAAAATAGGAGGCAAAGTCCAGTAAGGTCAGAAACACAAAGAAAAGAATTTGAAAATTATCACTTGGCCTTTCTTTCTTTCTTTCTTTCTTTCTTTCTTTCTTTCTTTCTTTCTTTCTTTCTTTCTGCTTTCTTGCTTTCTTGCTTTCTTGCTTTCTTCTTTCTCTTTTGTTTTTGCTCTGGTTTTTATCAGTATTTGCTTGCATATACTGGTACATATACATATCACACCTGTTATGGTTTGTGTCTGGATGTGCCCCTAAAGCCTCATGCAGTCATGCGGCAAGCTTCTAGAGTTTATGATTGATTCATGGATATGAGTGCTATACCTGCCCTGGGGCAGGTAGTTTGTATATAATGTAAGGGAGGGAAAGAGGCTGTTTGCCACTGCTCTTCCCTTTTGCTCTTGTTGCTTTTGCTGTCTTCTGCTGCCATGAACAGTTGCCTTCTGCCATGTGCCACCCTGACTTGGAGCCAGCCAAGTATGGAGTGAAACCTCCACAAACTATGAGTGAAATAAACCTTTCCTTCCCTAATTTTGAGCATCAGGAATTTTGTCTCAGCAATGAGAGAAAAGTCACCAAGACAGAATTTAGTACCAGGAGTAGGGTTGTTATGTGACTATACCTGACCATGTGGCTCAAAAGCCTTTGGAAATGGCTTGTATGAAGTGTTTGGAAAGGTTTGGAGATGTGTCCTGAAACAGTAGAGCTGGACTGCCTTCCGCTGTTCTGTATGAGAGATTCTGGTCAGAGCTCAGAAGACCAGAAGGTTGATAGAAATCCTGCCAGTAAAGACCTGGCTCAGGAGGTTTCTGCTGGGATGAAGAACTGCACTGGAGGCTGGACTCCAGATGATGTATGTTATGGCTTGGCAGAAAGTTTATCTGCATTTTGCTTGGGTTGAGAGACTGCCTAAAACTGAGATTAAGGGCAGTGGACTAATTAATTTGGCAGAAGAAATTTCAAGGCTGTTGAATGTTGAGGCAGTGGCATGGCTGTTGTTGGGGGCTTTTAGTCAGATTTATGTTGAGAATCAAGAGCACAGAGCCCAGCAGGATGATTTAAAATATTGTGAGTTTGTCCAGAAAGAAAAAAGCTCTGGTAAAGCTGTGGACTGCAAAGATAAAACTGAGGAGATCTCCATTACTGAGAAGGAACAAGAAAATTGAAAAGATGGCCTGAGGGCAATCACAAAAAAGCAGCAAATCTCCACTCTTTGCAGCCTCAAACCTGCAAAAGTAAAAGCCTTTGCTTTGAGAAGAAAGACACAGAGCACCATGTTACCCCATAATGGCAGTGGCATAAAAAGTTTGTTCCTCAGAATCAGGTTCAGCATGCTCAGTGATCCAAGCACTTGATGCCTACAGCCATGGAGAAGAAAGCTTGGCTACTTGCTCCAGGTGGCAGCAGATCTTGGTGCCATCCATGTGGTGCTGGATTTAGGCACATACAGAATACAAGTGTTCTGAGGTTAGGGAGGCTTCCACCTTGATTTCAGAAGAAGGCCTGGAAGGCCAGGCAGTCTGCCCCAGAGAGGGCAGTGTGTGAAACTGTGAGTGTGAAGCAAGAGGCACAGTGTAGACCTCAGAAGTTTGGGAAATCCAGGAAAGTGGATTGTCTGAGGAAAGCTGCAAGGAGGGAACAAAGCAGGCCCAAGAGAGAAGCCGTAGGAGCTACAACCACCAGAAGTGCCATAGAGGCAGAGTCACTCAAGCCCTTTGGAGCTCACAATTTGCCACAGATTGCTTTAGATGTTCCACATGGAACTACAGGACTTAATGTTTGCCCTGCTGGATGTTGAACTTGCTTTGGTCCCAATGTTCTGTATCCCCATTTGTAACTTTTGCAATGATAATGTTTATCTTGTGCCATTGAATGTTGGAAGTGTTTAACTTTTCATTTGTACAGGGGCTTGCAACTAGGAGTTTGCCTTACATCTTGGAGAAGACTTGGTAACTGGGACTTTTCAGCAATACTGAAACTGTTAGGACTTTGGCAACTCTTAGAGATGGACTAAAATGTCTTTTGCATAATGGGATGTACGTGAGTCTTTGGGGAGCCAGGGGTGAAATGTTATGGTTTGTGTCTAAATTTCCCCACAAAGTCTCATGCAGTCATGGGGCAAGCTTCTAGAGTTTATGATTGATTCATTGGTATGAGTGCTACACCCGCCCTGGGGTGGGTAATTTGCATACAATGTAAGGGTGGGAAAGAGGCTGCTTACCGCTGCTCCTCCCTTTTGCTGTTGTTGCTTTTGCTGTTTTCTGCTGCCATGAACAGTTGCCCTTTGCCATGTGTCACTCTGCCTTGGAGCCAGCCAAGTACAGACTGAAACCTCCACAAACTGAGATAAATAAATCTTTCCTTCCCTAATTTTGAGCATTAGGTATTTTATCTCAGCAATGAGAGAAAAGTAACCAAGACAACATCTTAATCTTTTCTACTTTCTTTTCCCCTCCTCTCCCCATCTTTCCCATCCCCAGATCTTCATATCTCCAAAAGGTCTCCCTCCCCATTTCCTACCATTTATCTTTTATTCGCTCTTTCAGTTATCTATACTTTGGATTTCTCATATAAGAGACCCCAAGCTCCTTGTCTGATTTGTTTCACTTAGCATTACGTGTCAAGGTACATCTTTTCCTACAAAATGACTGAAGTCTCTTGATTCCCATGATAAACTTGCAAGTTTGACTTTTTTTTGGTTTGTTTTGCCTTCTTAGAAAAGCAGGTAACTCATTTTTACTCCTTGGGGCATTTTGACAGAGTGAGAAGTACTGTTTCTAGGTTTTCTGCAAGAGATTTGAACGATCAGGGAAGGCTGTGCCTCCTTCAGCCTGCTGTGCTTTGTGGCTTCTGTGGCTGGTGGTAGGGAGGCTGGTGTGGATGCTTCCAGGTGGCAGATGCCACTTGTCACCCTCCCTTACCAGCCAAGCTGGCATTCCCTTTCCTCCAGGGCCACATCTCCTGAGCTGTTGAGGTCAGATCCATACTTACCAAGAGGGTGATCAGTTCCCATGCAATGGGTGAACAGGTGCTCTGCCAATAAACGCTCAAGCACGGGGGCTCCTGAGCAGAAGTCTACTCAATACGGAAGAACTAGAATGGAAATTCTAGGCATTGGGTAGCTGGGCAACCCACCACCCCAAGAACAGGGCCTACATGGATCCTTTCCCCACACGTAGGCAGTTGGAGGTCTATTGGGAGCCCTGTGAGCACTTCCAGGCTGTCTGGCTCTGCAGAAGTTAGGTAGCCCATTTCTGTTTGGGGGCAGCTCAGTTTTTCTGTCTTCTGGGAAACAGCACCAAAGGACCTGGTACTGAGCCCATGTCTTTGTTTCTTTTCTCCTGGGAGCCTCCAGCCCCAGAGCTGCTGTCAGGATGCTGCTGTGCTGGGCCTGGGGGACATGTCCCTGCCCTATGTGGATGCATAGGACCCCAGCATGCCGGCCTCAGAGGCCAGTGGGACCCAGCACAGCAGCATGACAGAGGAGCCCCTGACCTGCCCAAGGCTGCGCCAGCTCTGGGTTCCCACATCCTGCAGCCACTGATTCCCTGGAGGGGCCAGAAAAACCCATGAGGCTTACACAAGCAAGGCCAAGAGTTCATCTGGAATTCTAACCTGGGAAGAGGGGAGAGCTTCTGCAGATCCCCATCACCCAAGACAGAGGGTGTAGGTGAGGAAGGGGTGTGCCCTCCCTCCTGCTCTCCTTCTGGCCCCCAAGCATCCAGGAACACCCTAGCTGTTGGCCACACTGTGAAGCACATGATCGTTTTTCCTTACTGAGTGGAGAAAACAACTCTGCTCTGCCCATTGCTGTTCCCTGGCTTCTGGCACATAGCCCGTTGCAGGACTGGTGCCCTATGGCCACTGAAGGAAGGAGGGGAATTAAGCTGTGGGCTGGCAGAAGTTGCAGCAGCAGGACAGCAAGCAGGGCAGCTCAGGGCCAGAAGAGATGGGGAGGGCTCTCTATAAAACTGCTCCTGGGAGACATAGCAGGGTGGAAATGTCCTTTTAAGAAAGACACACTGCTGGGCCAACTCCTGAGTTTCCTTATTAAGTAGGCCTCTCATCCACTGGGCCTGAGGCTTACCACTGTGCACATGGTCATCTGCACAGAACCAGGGGATGCCCTGCACACCATAAGCACACGGCGGGGCCATACAAGGGCTGGAATAACCTCAGGAAGAGTCGTTT